TCTAGTAGTCTCTTGGTCAGCTTCTCATCCTGGGGGTTGGGATTCTGGTAGAGACTCTTGGCAAGGAGGGCGGCGGTATTGGCGACGAGGTGGTTTGAGGTCGGTACGCCACTACTCTGGAAGAAGTGGTACAAGTCTGTGTAGTTTGTGATGTCGTACTCGATGTCCTGTCCCCCCTTCTTGTGCACCATGACGAAAGGGACTCCTTGTTTGGCGTAGAGATGTTCCTTTGGGGTGTGGATCTTGTCAACCTTGAGATCCGGCCGGGCCTTGTAGTGGTTGATCGGAATGTCTGACTTTTCCACTAGTAATTAAAGTTCTTTCGTATGACCTCTTTTATCCCTGCTGACGTTATCCTAATGTTCAATTTCAGTCTGCCTCACCAAGCGTAAGAAAGCATTGTACATGTTCTGATAAACCATACTGATGCAATTAAGCAAATGAATATTTGCTGTGGGCAAATATCTATTTTCTCTATATATATATTTGTGGATATGAAGCATTCTAGTTAATTGTGGATACACTGGGCAGACAGAATTGTGTTTATTTCCAGGCCATCCTGATCGTCGTTTACTACTATAAGGTGTATGTTTTGAGGCAATATCAAAGGCGCCGCACAGCATTTATTACATAACAGACGGGGTCGTCCGTTTTGCTTTAAACAACCACCCCACCCTGTCTGTAGGAGTTATATAATCGGTGCGCAAATAACTGTGTCAAGTCCACTGCCGGGCTGATGCGGTGTCAGTGTCAGCGATTAACATGAATGCTCAAATTATAGACCTGTAGCACTCACAAGTTGCTCAGCCAAAATATTTGAAAAGTGTATATTCAATTCTCTGATAACAGCAAATATAACCTTAGAAATAGATTCAACATACAAACAATCAAATGTAGAATACAGACCTATGCTTAATAATAATTTCTTCTGGATATGATCAACCTGCGGAACCCTCTATCCGATGAAGTAACTAATGCTCGCTCATTAAAAGAAATCAAATCATTAATTAATCGTTCTGATGCAATTACTAATAATTTTGACTTCAAATATTTTCATAAATCATGCCAAATTGTCCACTGTCGCCTTAGGCTCGGATGCAGTGACTTAAACGCTGATAAGTTTAGACGACATGTATCAGACATACCAGACTGCACTTGTGGATATCACCTTGAAGATGCAATTCACTTTTTCTATAACTGTCAAAAAATACGATAATATCAGAAACACTGTATTTCTACACACATGGGTATGGTCTAAAAATGATATTACGTGGCAGTAGTTAAGCAGTTCTACAAACATGACTCTTCTTAAATCAGTTCACGACATCATTGTCAAAAGCAAAAGGTTTGAGTAGCTTAATTTTATGCATGTAGTAAAGGAAAACTGCATTACCTTATTTCACCGACACCACTTGCTTCAGTGTATTGGCTTCGTGTATTTCATTTGTGCATTTTGTATGTTTATGTTCATCAGTCTCTTATATATATCCAGCTGTTTTTAAGTTGTTACCTGGAGAGGTATTACATAAGCAGGTTTTGCTTGTTTACCGATCCAGATTTCTTTTGAAATAAAAATACGTTTAAGCCAACACAGCTAACCCTAAAACACATGATTGTAAACTATTCAAAAAGGGGCACTAATCTCTGGCTTCTTCTCGGGTGTCGGACTCAAACTCAAACTCATTTATTCTTAGAATAACATGACATACAATTATCTACAATTTTTATTATGTACAATTTAACAAAAATAATAAAAATAGGATACGTGGATACTAATACAATTTACCAATTGTATCGTACACATTGTTAAGGAATTTAGACAGGCCTTTTAGATTTCATACACTGTTAGTGGTCATAATTTTCTTAAATGTTTGGAAACTTAAGATATTGCTTATTTAAGAGTTCATATCGCCGTTGGTGAAAAGCTTCACATTGGAATAAATAATGCAATTCATCTCCCACAGCGATAGATTCACAGAGTGGACACTGGCTGTCTTCCCTGGGAATGTTCAGCCATCGACCTGTTTCAACTGGTATTCCTTGGTTAGAAAGTTCTGACTTTAATTTTGAGAGCAGTAGATATTTCGCAAATGAAGGTTGATTCTTCAGGTAATACGACCTTTGGATTTCCGCTTGGGCTTTCTAGCTGCCGTGAGTCAATTTGCTCGTTAACGCAACCGAGCGTGACAAGAGACTGGGCTACCAGTCTGCAAGGACAGCTAAATAAGCTTACGCATTTTTGAAAACTGATTGGTTACCCGTGATCTATGAAGATTTCAACAAAGGGCGCATGGTAATTAATTTCTTCAGCCTAAACAAACAGACAAATAACGGCGAATAACGGTCTTTGGAAATACCCCTGATGGTTACAGTTTAATAATAAAAAAGTATCCTTGAGTGAAAGCATTTGCGGATTTCGGATTGCGTGGATGATACAATTACTAATCCCTTGTTGTCATCCACATTTTCTGGTATAACCCTACACTTGTGTATTTGTCGTAATTCACTTGCTGCTCAGTTAATGGATTTATAACATGTATACTTAGTTGTAGCACCACTCAGATTATAAAGGTTCAAATTTGGTCTTTCTTGTACCTGGGGTAATTTTTCAATCTAAATCCAGGTTTGAAGTGAGGTGGAATGTGAGTTATGTGATATGCACGTGGCAGCCCAGCAAGAGATGTATGGTTAGTTGCTTTACTTTTTTTGTAAATCAATTGATCATTCCCAGACATCAAAGGATCAACAGGAAATACGTTGATTGATTAATTACTGTTATCTTGCACAGTGGATATGTCAAAAGTAAGTGTTTACATGTGAAGGTAGGTTTACTAAACCTAGGCAATACACTCATATCATGGCGTGAAGTACAGATGTAAAAACAACATACTTTGTTCAAAGGGTAACCGATAATACACTGACTGGTTGTTCATTGTTATCTAACTCAATGTATGTTTTTAAGAACCGAGGACATTATAAAAATAGTTGTCACGTGGGCTTTCTCAGCTAACTTGGCACCTATGTGAAACAATTGAAACAAACTAAGTGATCAGTTAAGAAACAAACAGGGGTTATAATATTCGATACATTTAAATAACGTTTAAAAACGATATATTTAAATATTTTAATATATTTCATATATATTCCAAATATTGTTTCCAAATAATTATTATTAAAGTATTTGATTCTCACATAGACATTTGACGTCGAATAAGTATTTTTGTACAGCTGCAGACGCAATGGATATTGTTCCTTTATGTTGATATTCCCGGATACATTATAACTTTGGTAGGTTGTAATAATTATATTTGCATTTTGTTTTCATTCATTCGCTGCAGCTTTGAACAGAATCTTTCTTGTTCCTTTCCGTTTGGTTGGGAAGTTTTTCGATGCGCGATAGACGTTGTTTTCACAAGTATTTTCTTTTGTAAGCGTGTATATGTTACAGTCAATGTGTAAAATATGATTCACTCAGGCAATTTATTAAATATCTAAATATTTCAGTCATTTTACAAATTGACTGAATAATCCATTCATTTATTTAACCGACTGACTAAAAATGATAAAGACGATCAAAAGAGCTTAAACACATCACAATATATTAATTATGCTAAGAAAAGAAGCCCAACAATACAGAACTGTACTTGGTGATGATATTAAACATAAACAAATATTTGGAATTCGTTATCATATTAATAAAGATGGACATATTGTAAAATAAACTGAATATTTAGGCGTTTAATAAATTTCCTTAGTGAAATATGTTTACATTTTGAATGTAAACATATACACACGGTAAAATAAGCAATGTTCAGATGAAATATTTACTTTGTGTTGCAAGTCAAAATAGTGTACACAAAGATCGCACAATTACCAATCAAGTGACTTATCAAAACTGCATCACCATTACCGATGCTCCCCACAAATATACCTACATTTCCAAAAATGTATTTCATTTTTGTTGATCAATGTGACCATACGTCCTTCTACTTTCAATAAAAATGCGCTTACGAATGGCGAGCACAGGTCGCGAACAAGTCTAGATTTCTGCTATATCATCCGGGTACTCACTGGGAAAATACAGTAATGCACAGGTAACAACTACTCCCGCGGAATTGCTTTAGATCAGTGCTCCTTTGTACGTTGAAATACTATATATTGTGAATGCCAAAATGATGTATCAAGGATCAAGTAGAAGACACATTGACCGTAGCGCTGGGAGTTTATTCAACAGACCCGTGAAAATAACACTGCTGTATCTTACTATTTATTTTAGATGACGCAGTCAAAGCTCACTTCTCCTGGCGGCCATTATCGAACGGCCAGCTAAAACACAACCCCGCGCTTACGTCTACAGGTCTCTTCCTGTAGTACGGTAATTATTATTCTCTCCCTCAAGTGTATCCTCAATGATATAACCCACCCTCATTAATTACATGCTGCTCTTTTCCAGCCTCACGGTTATGGAGCTGAGATAAAGAGTCCAAGTCATCATAAAGTAATTAGGGTCCAATGAAAACAATGCGCCGCCAAACCTCATACATATTATCACTGAAAGTCGTACTACAGACGTTTAATGTCAAATCACAATAAAAGCATTTCAATTGCAATAACATGTTCCAGGACCATGTATTCTCTTAACACCATCGGATTTAGAAGCAATGGTCGTATAAAACAAGACAGATCTATTTAAACACAACAGTATTCATGTTATTCCCACAAAATCACATAAAGAAAGGAGACATTAGCAAATACATGTGTATTATCATTTTTCGTCAGGATAACAAAATGTTCTCTCCTTGTTACCTCCAGGTTCAGCTTAAGACGGGTCCTCCTTTGGTCAAAAGTTTGTTCCCCCTCTAATGAGTGTGTCACGCGTTGCACATGAGTGGCGGACGGGGTGCACACCCGTGTGCAACGCGTTGCACACGGGTATCACACGCGTGACCAACCCGATGCACACTGGTTGCGTAACGCGTTGCCCATGCGTGTAAGGGGAATGAACTTCTAGGCAGTAGTGTATGTGTGTAGTTTCTCTTTTACTAAGTCTAATTATTACTTTCCGCGAAAAAAATGTCATTCTTATAAACAAATGTAATATATCCATTGTTCACAATTAAAGCTACTGTTGTCCTGATATCAAACAGTAGCCTGCACAACATGTCGTTGCGTCGGGTATTAACATTTTATATGTCAATCATTTGATGTATCCAAACGAAATATTTATAAGTGGTTGAACAACAAAGAGCAATTTCGGTAATCCAATGTATTATACACCCATTCTATAACAAAAAATACCCTACACCATGTTACCGTCTGTCTCTTGCTTCAGTGGGATAAACATTTGAAACGGAGGAGACTTTCCATAGCCAGTAGGAAGTACTGCCATCAATCTTAACCGTCTCTTGTGACATGTTCCTTTGATGTGACATTTGATAAGATGGATGAACAAGAACATTTGATCGTCATGACGTCGAACACGAGGATAATGTCATACCCTCATAAAGGAGGAAAGGTTACACAGCAAATACCACAAGTTCACAAATGACTGCACCCTTTTTGAATTTGATAAATACTATCTGGAAGTTATTAAAGCAAATGGTGTTCTCTTTTGTTACATTGTGTCATAAACGTAAAAGACGATGGATCGCATTTTGCGCAATATTCTCACAATATTACAGCTATATGTCTGAAACCGCAACTTAACCAGAAAGAGTACTACACAAGCCCTAGTGATCACCACATTCAGTTGAAATTGAAACATATGTCACTCATTGTATCACGATATTATACCTGTATAAAAAAACAAAACAATATCTGATACTCCACGGACTGCGCACAATGTTCCCATAGCTTTGTATGTCCAGAAACAGTATTTAGCTCTGCTGTGGGATGTTTTCGTTTTGCAGGGTTTGTTACCGAGAGTCAGTTGATACTGACAACAACCTCATATGGAGATATGCGCCGCCGTGAGGTTGGCGTCACCACTGATACGGACGTTTTTTAGGATCTCATTCGGGTATCTGTCTGTGAAGTTGTTTATGCTTGATCCATCTACAGCTAGCTGCAATGAATCAAATGGAACATCTTAGATTATCCAGTGTATTACATATCCATAGACCTCTTTTAATATTTATGCATGACCCCAAGGTCAAACTCCAAAACGAGTTTTTTCTCGCATGGCGGCAGAGCAAACACCCTGGAGGGATTTATCGCTCGTCTCGCATGTCTGGTTCAGCTTCGTCGATAATTTTGTTCAAAGTCAATCTAAGAGTGCGGGGAGTTCCCCGATCCATTATAACAGCGATGGGTTCATCAACAGTATTAAAAGTAGGTATATTGTGATTTTACACAAAATAACAATGACCACTTTGGCAGGTCACGTTACCTTTCATGTCATATGCTATTGTTTTGAACTGATTTTGATGGGCGTAACATGAATGGGCTAAGACAACCATAATGACCTTTTAGTGTGTGTAAGCGCTATATTTTATTTATTTTAATTCTTGAGTTTTTTGGTATTACGGTAGTCTATTGATCTGATTAAATACGATTATTATTAAGTTTATACTGTGTCACGCAACCATCATAAATGCAAATGTTTTTGGCTATAGATCTAAGCATTTTTTTTGTTAAAACCATAATCATCCACGGTTATCCACAATTCTTCCATTAAATTCAGTTCTGTTTCCTAGTTGAATGTGTGTATGTGGTAATTATTCTATTTCCAGCATCGTGCAATGGATTCCTCTGTCCTGACTCGATCGATGGGGAAGAATGAAATCCCTTATAACTTAGAGGTAAGGACTATGAAATGAATATGTCGTATGCATGTTCAATTAATCAAATTAATTTGAATCAATGGGTATGGAATTGACATTAAACTGCAACAATAATTATGGGTAACTGACCATGCAGATTATCCTGTTAATGTAAATTATATAAAACTTATCTTAAAAAAAGTCAAAGTTACTCTGCACAATGTTTGAAGTGTTTAATAGTAGAACTATTGGAGACGCTATTAAATTGCATTTATACAATTGACATCTGCATGTATTTCTTTACAACTTCAATGTATTTTCAGATTTTTCTGAAACAAACTGTTTGTGTGCCATCAGACATCAGTTTAAATACAATGTATGTACATTGTGAAATAAAAGATTTGCATCTCAAACGATTTGACACTTTTATCTCTCACAGGCAATTTTAGCACAATTCTATAAGAGTGTGCAAGGGAAAGCAACTGTCAACAGCTGATTGATAGTTTTGAAAATTCTGCAACATGGACTCTCAAGATGTTAAGGTTTGTATTTCACCTATTTATTCAGCTGAAAACTAACCACAGTTAAATAGGAAAGGGGGAATATTGAGACTATTTCTTGTGTGCAAAGTAGTGGATATAGTAAGGCCTTGGTCTGCCCCAACACTATCACCAGGTTGAACAAGACCAAGAAAAATACCAAATACCTAACAGCTTTGTCATCTCAACATCAGACATACCACCGTTAGACAAACAGGATTCAAAGTTCTCAGCATCATGAGGGGTTATACCAATCAGGCCTCAGAGTGGACAGCTAGTTTTGTAAAGTGTATAAAACTTTTGAGTTGAGGACAAAGGACGATGGGATTTGAATTTGTATTTCAGTGCAGTCAACAGTAATGGCCTGGGTCTTCCACCCAATGAAACAATGTCAGAACAAACCTAATACATGTTACACATTTTGGTGGCACTGGGTTGATCAAATTAAAAACTTTACTTGAAAGTATCACAATTAGTAAAGAAATACAGTTCTAGTTCTTGAAACTCCAAACTTCTCAAGAGCCAGGTGGTTATTGATTAGATGGTTCTCCCTCTCAAGTTGTTCAACATGGACCTGCATCTCTTTTATTTCAAATTCTGCCTCACACCCCTCATGCTGTGTGGAATGATCATTCCCTTCAACCTCATGTCCATCACACCTCCTCCTGGTACCAGGTTCTCTTCCCACTACGAACACAATAATTCCGATTTAATATTATGTTTCATAAATAAAGTTAAAAAACAATTGTATAATGCAAACTTGATTTATGACATTTATTAATACACATATTAATATAATGGATAAATGTAAATTCTTACACTATGACGTTCTGGCCTATAGGATCAGTGGGGGATTGCTTGGTGTTGTGGCCACAGTCAATGCAAATATGGATGGGATTGTCTCTGATTTCAGTATGCTTTGCACGGGGGTGTACTTGTTTACAAGACAAATATCTAGGTGTGAAATATTAAACATTCAATTCATTTTAGTCCCCCAATTAATTTTCAATTTGTGTATAAATATAAATTGTAAACAAGAATCCAATAAAGTGTAAATTAAAACAACTGTAACTGTTTTATGCATTATTTGTACGATCACCTATACGCTAATATCGCTTTGAACAATATATATATATATATATATATATATATATATATATATATATATATAAAATGTAGTATTTATGTGACGAGAATAGAAATCAATATTCTATTCAGAAAAAGCATGAGTATTTCGTACTAAAAAGGTCATGTAAATTGCCATAAAATCAATAGTTGATAAGCGATATTCGCTCTTCAGTTTTGCAAAAACATGAATGAAAATTAGGACTTACGGTGAACAGCTTTCCTTTAACATGTCCGATGGCTGCCAGTCATCGTTTCCGAAAAGATAAATCGACCGGAAAAACGGCTTGCGGGGATAGCCTCGTTTTGGAGTTGGACCTCAGGGTCACGCATGAATATTTAAAGACGGCTATTCTGTTCTATTGGAACCACATCTTCTATTGGAGACGCTAACAACTATCTAAGCACATTCCTCTTATTATCAAAAGACATTCTGAGCTATATGGTGACTTCATGTAAGAAACATGACTACCATGGCGAAATGGTTTAAGGGTATTCATCATAGTAGAATGGTTGGTTGGTTTGTTGTTTAACGCCGCACTCAGCAATATTCCAACTACATGACGGCGGTCTTTAAATAATCGAGTCTGGACCAGACAATCCAGTGATTGATATCATGAGCATTGATCCACGCAATTGGGATCGATGACATGCATAAACCAAGTCAACGAGCCTGACTACCCGATCCCGTTAGTAGCCTTTTACGACAAGCATAGTCACCATAGTAGAATGGAAAAAAATACAATGCGTAGTGTAGGATGCAAGTTAAACAGAATGAAAAAAGTTGGATCTTGATTTTACAATGAAAAGTCACACTCTTCTGATTGAAGTGACTCAAATAATACCCATTCAAAGTTAAGGACAAACGCATTCATTTATAAATAATATTTTATTCCAAATGAATGACATATATATTAAAATTCATTATTCATTATTATTTAAAAAAAATATTTCTGAAAATAGTATATATTTTTTTTTTTGCATTCTTAAATTAGAGTTGCAATAGCCTGGGCACAGTGAGGTTGACATGCCCTGACACGACTGAATACATATTTTGCTTTCTTAAATCAAGCAGAAAATATAATTGAGAATCGTTGCTGTGTAAAGTTACGTCCAATGGCTTTGGCAACTCAAATTTGTCCGCATTATTATTCATCACTTGTCAACCATATCCCCCTGCTGGTAGATTTCTCCAAAGTGGTAAACCTTTTGGACGTGCCCTGATATGCCTTAAATACACTTCCGAGAGGCCTAAACCTACTTCACACACTCCTATGTCTATGGGATACCAAAGACAACAAACCTGCTGCTCAACAGGACAATGATTTACTACATCGTATTGGACCGTTACAATTAAGTGTGTGCTGTATTTGTAGTTCCGCCTATCACGTGAACACCAACAAATCTGCTGAACATTTTGGATGGTGTAGAGAGGATAATTGCCTTCACTGCTTCAGAAACATATTCTGTCATATACTACTGTTGATCAGACAGGTGCCCACCCAGACGCAGTAATTAATACCTGTTTGTGACCGTGTCAAAGCTCAAGTAGAGGATGTGTGAGGAAACAACAACATACCATGTACATGCCTTGGTCCAGTCGTATCTCCACCAGAGACTCGGTACCTACTGCCAATGGGACCGGCGATAGATCAATCGGTGTTCCCCACACACCGGAGATGCGTGAGTTGAATACTAGCTTGTTTTGATCCAGTCGGAAGGAAATATGATACAGAAGATTTCCTCCCCCGCGAAAATCCATAGATACTCTAAAAAATCGGGAACAAATTGTTGATGTAAACTCTGAAAAATGTTTCCTGATCGAATAAAAAACGGGTACGAATTTTGGAAAACACGATGGTGGTCGTACAGTGTCTCTTTCGATCTGGAATCCTCATTCAAAGTTCGCTTTCAATTAACAAAAATATATGTATTTGGAACAAAGAGATTCAGTTCCTGAAGAGATTGGACTTATTGTTACTATTATAGTCAATTAAATTGTAAACATTGACTGACTTTCTAACAAACCAATCTGCTGTATATCCCACCAGGGACAACTGTGAAAAACTGTCCTGTTAAAAGATGGACAGATGATGAGATACGATATCAAATGCTAGTGGCCCAATATTAGATGTTTTAAATACTGGTCTAAACTTTTTCATATGCATGAACGACGTCTCCCAAAATGAGCTTACAACATGCTTTTACATTTCAATAACATGCGAAATAATACTTAGACATTGTATACGTCAGTTGGAAATGTTAGCATGTTTAAAATAAAACCATCAAAATCATTCTATAAATATGTTCTACCAAACATCTTTACATTAAGAGTAATTTTTACAGGAAGGTTTGTAACACCGCAGTCTGTCATATTCAACCAGTATGACTGCCTCCTGTCAATAATGGAGTCCGGGGCAGACCATCCAGGGATTGATTTTATGAGCAATCAAGTCACCGTGCCTGACTACTTGAACAGTTGCGTCGCAATCATATGTTGCTGGGGAACACCTCTAACCTGGAATCTGGAGCCAAATACATGTAACAACATTCTCTGAATGGTCAAATATGGGTGAGATACTGCCCATGTGACGTCAAATATTAACTCACTCACTCACTCACTGAGTGGTCATGCGTCTTTACCGTATTATGAATTATGAATGAAAATATCTAAACTTTACCGTGTAATGGTCGTTGGAGTGATGTTCATTGTTACTTTGAAACTGGTATAATTCCCACAAGGCACGACCATGATGAAGTTCATCACCTATGTAAGTGAAGAAAGGGTACTAAAAATGTTTTACATGCTCGATGATGTCTGTATCCCTTTGCAAACACTTACAAACACTTTTTTAGCTTGTGTTTTTTAGCAGGAGTATACATAACGGTATCAATAACACAAATGGATGTATCGTTTTTTATGTTTGATTTCCCTTTTAATTTTGTAGCGTCTTGCAGGATGTTTGGAAAACATTCCTGCTTACTTATTGCATCAAACATTTTTATTTTCGGATAAAAAGAATCTGACGTTATTAATTGTAAATTAACAAGTCTGTCTCAGCAGCTTCCGTGTAATGTTCATGTTCTTATATGCTGCTTATTGAACACATGAGGACTTATTTGCATTGCCAACGCAATTTTTTCAGTTTTATATGCAGTTTATTGTACCATTGCCTTCGTTGTTTCTGACACATGCTTTTGTTCGATGGATGTCGAATCGAATTCCCATTACACATTCATTTCCACATACTGTTCGTTCCCTCTCTTGCACAGTCACAAGCATCGTTCAATTTTACAAAAGAGCAGACTCCACCGGATCAAGTTGCAAAGACCAGTTCTGCTTTTGTGCAATGGATGTCGAATCGAAATCCCATCACTTTGTGTGAGTTCATTGGAGTATAAACCTTTATAGAGTGAAGGCCAAACTGTATGGACGTCGGAGCTAGCGACTCACGCAAAGTGTCAATTCTTATAATTTTTGTATCACTATTTTTTACCTCATACGATCTAGAGAGCTTTACACAATATTTAGTACGTGTGACTTCATGTTTACACTGACAGCCATACAACTTCCAGGTGTATCATGGAATAAAAAGTTCCTCAAAACGAGAGGTGACATGAACTTATGAATGCTCAACAACTTTTGTAGTTTCTTAAGAACAAATGTATTTAAATAATAACCTCAAAAGATGAGAAATTTCTGATATGAACTACCTCAGAAAGTCATTCACAATGACAGCGCATCGTAATACATTTACATCAAGTACTACTATAAGACGTCAAAATGGCAGATACGATCAACGTGTCGGGAGAGATTTCGGAAGTTGTTACTGAACCTGTGCCAGTTACATGTTTTAGTCATCATTGATCAACTGGTCGATCATTGAAATGTGATTAAAGATGTGTGGATGTCCATTTCTTCATTTTCTTCACTAAGGTTCGTTCGTAGTGAGGATATTCGTAAACGATCATGCAGTCAAACTCAATGTATACTGAAACGCTGAGTCTAAATGATGAGAAAGAACGCTTCTGTATGTATTCGTGCAAGGAAATTCCCAGGCGTTTCCCAAGGAATGTGGAAGTAGTCCGTCAGTGTTTACGTCATTTCAAGAACATGGTCTCTTGAAAAACGCATGAACGTCAAATTGTGTCGTTCATACACTTATGAACGTCAATTTCACGGTCATGTGACCGAGCTCTCTTCCAATGGAAAAGCCGTATATCGTGTAAACTTCAAATTAAAAAAAATTACTTCCACATACTGTTTCTTCCCTCTCTTGACAGTCACAAGAACCGTTATATTTTACACATGAGCACACCGAATCGGATTAAGTTCCAAAGACAAGTTCTGCTAGTTCTGACATTGCCTATCTAAGTGTATCATGACACATACACTACATGTCATTGTTGTTACTTTTTAAAATCTTACAGCCGTTTTATTTGGCCAACATTATTGAGTCCATCTCACTTATCCATCCTGTCACAATTATTAATGATACCTTCATACTCAACGTTCATTTTACCACATAACCATCTTACCGGGTTGTCCCAACTATACTGTGCGCACGGGCCGACAGAACCACTCCAATTTCCTGTTAACAGACAGACTCTGCTGTTTCTATCCGTGCACATCATGAAGTTGTTCTTGCAACTGTATTCTGCAACTGCTCCTTCGTACACTCCGTCATAACGCATTTCAGCATTGGCAACAGAAGGTGGTGCGTCACAACCCTGAAACTCTGTACATTAAAACTAAATCATATAACATATTGGTTCATTTTAATCTCACAGTAAGTACATGTACGTTTAACCAATCTGTCATTATTGAGATCTTGGAGTTGAACACCGCCGAATGCAACAGATTAATGGGGACGCTCAACTAATAATATATTTCAGAGGTCACTGTCAGTACGGAAATCACACACATACCTTGAAATCCTATTTCTTTTCTCAGTTATTGTTCTTAAGGTTAGGTTACGTAATGACTGCGCGTGCGCCTGTGTGGGCGTTTAAAATGTGTGCCACACTCTGACTTGTCCTTGCTTTTTCCCATTAATGCCCAACGCCAGACAGGGAAACAACAAACAGGTTTTGACATCTTTTGATGTTACCCAGCCGGGATCGAAACACCGATCCCCGGGCAGACGCTTTGTCCTGGAAAAAGTCATTCGTGACAAACACTTTCTCATATGGCATATGATGTTAGTCCAAGCCCAATGATTTCAATAAATGATAACGTACAATAGAATTGCCTTTTTTTACCAGTCAAACACTTACCTGTTACACATGCTGCACGTCCGAGTCGATCTGAATGGCATCTGGACATAGGACAAGTTGTCTCCGAACAGGCGCCAGCGAGGGACTATTTATAAACAATACATTCTGGTGGTGTTTAGTGTGCTCATGATTCAGATATATATTCAGCACAGCCGAATCAGGTAATCTCAATTGTTTAATATGACGCTTGCTTCTGCTGTAATTATATGGAATTGTTATCTGGCAAACGTGAAGAGGGACTATTTATAAACAATACATTCATATGGTGTTTAGTGTGCTTCCAATACTCATGACACAGATAGATATTTACCACAGTGTAATCAGCTAATCTCAAATGTTTCAAAACGAGTATCTCCCAGCTGAGGCTGTTAGGGGGTGTTTCGCTTTTATCCAGACAACGTCCCACATAAGGCCAAATTCTGAAGAGACTCTGGATAGTCTTTTCGTTATATAAGACAGCTGTTGGACTGTAAGTGGGTATCTTGTATGAATGCAAAACGCTAAAGTCAACGTCAACGCCAGAGAATAATCACCCTCGATTATCTGCTTAAATAGATCCCATTATGCATAAACGGCAATGGCAATTATGCTAATGTAATACAGTGATGACACCAGGCAAGCGTGTTTTGCTCATTGGTTCAGTTTAAACTCCTTAAACTAGCCCACATGTCATTAAACCCAATCCCTTCTACCAGAGATGCTTAGAGTAAGTGAGCGAATTAAAATTTAACATCACACAGCACAAAAAATGTGGTTTCCGTTTTCCTGATCGCTTCCGGATACCTCCGGACACTTATCCAAAATACATCCGGGTATCCGGTGGCAGATACCTTGCCGGATACCAGATCCATGGTATCAGATCCGTGGTATCCGGTGGCAGACACCTCAAAGTATCCCTGCACAGCAAAAAAGTGCAGGTTTCCAAACCAATGTCAAAATTTGGAGGAGGGCTGGGGGGTATATCTTGGTTCAGTAAAGTGTGAAACACCTTAAACAATAATTACAAATAACCAAGAAATTTGAAGATTGCTGAAGGTATCCGGAAGGTATCCAGATGCATTTTTTCTAAATGTCTTGTTTCTAGTAAATAATGTTAGCCTGGGCATGTCAGATAGCTGTAGCAATATTCTGTGTTATTTCAGTTGTAAATATCCTCTTAAAGCTGAGATCTCTGGTCATGGACTTTTTGAGAAGACAATTTTTTAGTTTCATATTTGCTTTTAGATGTTAAGCTGTTTAATGACAAACATCAGTTCTAATACAGGTATGATGATATCCTTAAATTTCATGTTCAGACTTTCAGTTTGTTCTTAGTAAAAGTATTAAGTCATCGACTGTGTGATCATTTTGGCCTTTGGTCCTGGTGAGATGATGCTAGGATTGTATTTGTACTGTACAAGTACTTCTTATAGGCATACCAGCTTCAATGAAGTTTGAAACACAATATGACCCACTCTGAGGGTCACATGTACCAGATTTCATTGCGCTACTGTGAACTCTTCCTCAGTTACTGTAAACAGTTTTACTAAAATAATTTGACCTTCAATATCAGTTGCGACTATTTCAAAAACAATTGCAAAGGGCTATCCAAAATAAACCACTTATGAAGGCCCTTTGTAGAATTATATGTAACAATGAAAATATGGCCTATGCTTCTCATTGAAATTAGGTCACTGTGACTTGTAAGCCACTGCTCATACATCTGTATTCAAATAATATAAAATATAAGACTTCATGCATAATACTTCACAAATGTCCCAGAAATTGGCATTTTAGTGATAATGGAAAAAAAAAATTATGATTGCCTCATTGCCTTCTCATTTGGATCCACATTTAAAGACAATAAGTCCCATTCTTCATTCCTTTCAAGTGTTTACCACATGGCCCAAGACAAGAATTTCTTGAAGGGTCCCACTCCGGCTTGGCATTGGTTGGTCTTCTCACATCAACCAAGACTAGCATTTGTGAGTGTGTCCCAGTGCCACTTGGCATGCAACTTCTCGATCGGCCTCCATTGAAATAACAGGACCCTGGAGGGGTCCTTCCAGGGATCTCAAAGACCCGTGAAGATCCGGGCTAGAATAGGTCTTCAGCAACCGATGCTTGCCGTAAAAGGTGATTATGCTTGTCGTAAAAGGCGACTTACGTGATCGGGTGGTCAGGCTCGCTGACTTGTTTGGTGCATGTCATCGATCCCAATTGCGTGGATCGATGCTCCTGATATTAATCACTGGACTGTCGGGTCCCGACTCGATTATTTACAGACCGACGTCATATAGCTGGAATAGTGCGGCGTTAGACAACAAACCACAAACCACCAACCACCAGGGATCTCAAGCTGGACTTCAGTTTCTGCAGAATTATGTATAAAGATTGTAGCAATAAAAATGAATTGTTGCAACATGGTCTTAGATGTTTACCACTTTGATGAATCCCACAGGCAAGTATATGATGCTGACAAACCTAGAGATAACTGGTCGCCAGCCAGAACATCTGTTGGTGGGAGGATACGAGTGAAAGTCTTTCCCTCAGTGATTTACCATCTCCAAATGTTGTTGCACAGTGATGTTGAGAGTTTTGAATATTTGTTTGTGATTGGGTCACATGATCAATTTCATGGTGGGTTCATTCTGCCGTGGAAACAGGTTTCATACCAACAAAAGACGCGGACCTCTAGATACATCTCGTTGCTCCTTGTCACCAGATATCTGGTTCACTTATTTTAGAGATCTACTTAACCCCGCATTTAAAAACTTGGAAGCCAAACCCTTTGATTGTTATGTAACTCAGTTTTTAAATTATGTAAATTCTCATTCATTTGGAAGCTGGTAAACCTGCCGGCGAAGATGGAATACCGGCTGAATTTTATAGGTTATCAGGCAATATTCTGATACCATATTTAAAATTATTATTTAATAAAATTATGAATGCTGGAATATTTACGGAGTCGTGGAACGTTTGTATGATATTACTATTGTATTAGAGATTTAATGTTACTTCTATTTGCTGATGATATTATAATGTTTTCATACTCTGTTAACGGTCTACAGAAACAATTGAATGTATTACGTTCTTATCGCAGTACATGGGCATTGGAAGTTAATTTGTCAAAAACAAATGTAATTGTTTTTAGAAATGGAGGTATTATTGCCAAAAAAGAAAAAAATGACATATAGTAATATCGCCTTAAAAATTGTTACTTACTATAAATATTTAGGCTTGACGCTATCATCTAAACTATCATGGTCAATTGCGTGCAAACAACTAGCATCGCAAGCATCAAAAGCAATTAAACCTATCTATAGGTATCTATTTCAAGCAAAATATACATGTATCCTTAGCTACAGCTTGTACTATATTTGACGTCAACATCACGGCAATCTTGCTACATGGAGCAGAAATATGGGGCGCAAAATATAATGACGCTATTGAAAAAGTACATGCTTCCTACTTTAAGCCCTTTTTAATGGTTGGAAACTATGCTTCTAACAAAGCTTTTTTAGGTGAAACAGGACGTTATCCTATTCATGTATTAAGTCAACTTCGAATGACAAAATATTGGTTAAATTACGATGGATGGAGCCGCAAAGATATCCTTAACAATGTTATAAACTACTGAAAGCTCTTGACGACAAAGGCAAAACGAATTTAGTTGTCCAGTATCAGATATTTATTATTTTCATGTGGCTATTCCTTTGTGTGGATATTCCAAGATGTAGGGATACAAATTTGTTCTTATACTCTTTTAAACAAAGGTTACAGGATATGTATTGTCAAAACTGGCACGATAGTATATCTTCTAGTTTCCTAAGCCATTACAAGGATATCAAGTCTGCTATAGAACCAGATTAGTATATAAGTATGTTACATGATAATTCGCTTGTTAGGGCATTATGTAAATTCAGAGTATCGTTACACAATTTCAGTGTAATTTTTAGACGTAGATATGAAAATGGGACGTTGAAATCGGTATCTGTAAAAACTGCCAATAAGGAGAAATTGAGGAGGAATTTCATGTTTTATTAGTATGTTATAAGTATGAACATCTCAGAGAAAAGTATATTCCAATATTTAACATTAGGCATAAAAACAAGATGCTAATGATCAGTCTTATAAAATCCAACAACTCTGTTGTTATACATTCATTACACTTATTGTTAAAACATATATTCTCTGTCAGATAGTTTTTATAAATCATGTATATTACTTGACTAAACAAATGAAACTGAAAATGTCAACTGAACAATGAGCCATGTGGCCTAAAATACCGAATAAAATATCTATCTATCTAATATTTGTTTGCTAAATATAGCCTTATATATAAAATCAAGTGCAAGTTTATGAAAGCACTATTTTCAAAATGTGTTTTATTTCGTTTTATTCTTAATTCAAGTATCTAAAATGACAATAAATGGGAACTAATCACGATCATTAGGGTTATGAGTAAATACGTCTTCATCAACCCATGCTTGCTATAACAGATGGCTATGCTTGTCGTAAGAGGCGACTAATGGGATTGCTGACGTGGTTGATGCATGTCATTGCGTCGATCGATGCTCATGATGTCAATCCGTGGATTGTGTCGTCCATGCTCTATTATTTACACACCGCCGTCATAAAGCTGAACTATTGCTGAGTGTGGCATCAAACAACAAATAAACAAACAAACATACATTAGGGTTAGGTATCCGTTTAGTGGCTATGATAGATTCTATAGCGGCTCCTAGTATCATTCACACAAAAAATCGAGAAAGCAGGATGAAATATTTAGTGTCGAATATTTTGGCTACTTGAAACTGTCCTGGAACATTCATACAAGCCACTTTCACCCGCTACGTTTATTCAGTAATAACTCAAAAGCGGACTCACCCTTGTGGCATCAATGTCCATGCTTATTCCTCCGTTGTTCTTTACTATGATCCATAGTATCCTAACAGTGTTGTTCCCTACAACATTTCTGTCAGAAAATCACCTTCAGCAACCCATGCTTGTCGTAAGAGGCGACTAACAGGATCGGGTGGTCAGGCTCGCTGACTGGGTCGATGTATGTCATCGTATCCCAATTGTTTGGATTGATGCTCATGATATCAATCACTGGATTGTCTGGTCGATTATTTACAGACCGCCGTCATATAGCTGGAATATTGCTGAGTGCAGTGTTGAACACCAAACACGAACATGATTCTACTACATGCTCTTGTGGATACCATTTTGAGGATCCTACACATTACTCCTTTTCGCGTCGTAACTATTGCATTCTTCGTAATAATATGTTCCACATCATGTGTAGTAGACTTATTTATTTCATAATGAACTGGATTTGCAAACAGGCCGATGGTTTATCTAAATGCTGCTCAAATACAAAATAAGTATTAATTACGATAAAATACGAATTCAATAATATCAGTTGAGCAATAATGTAATCATCAGATTATAAGTAGATACGTGAAGTAGAAGTCAATATTGATTAAATAAAATCTACCAGATTCTAAGATAAATGCATCTATAGATTGAATTTTTTCAATGTTTTCCTGTACATAATTTTCAACCATATACAGCTGTTTTTATGTCATATCCATGTGTACAATAATACATATTATTTCTAATAATGGCATAATTAGGACACACAAATAAGACATGAATGGTATTTTTTATTATAAAAGGTGCCACAAGATGGGTCATTTGACATGAATCAGTTTTATGTGAATTTAAATCAATACAACCTAATCTGAGTCATGAAAGGATTTGACCTTGGTTCAGTGAAAATGGAAATGCTAAACCGATATTAGCCAAGCTTCTATAGAATATGTTCACTTGTGTTTGTATGTAAAAGATGGTTGTACAATTCCGTCTTTCTAATGATTGTTTGTACGTGTGATCGATATGCCGGTATGTAGAGGTATATGTGTACATGGATGGACTGGTTTGGCCAGTGCATGTGTTTTTATGTGTGACTTGTATATTTTTGCATCATGATAGTTTCTACAGTACATGTAGGTACAATTTATCTCAACTCATAGTTTTGTAAACAGTTGATGAATATTAATTGTGAAATGCATTTGTAGGGAGAAATGCATATCAAAACTGTCCTTATTTCATATCTGATTAGTAGAACTGAAAGTAGAAAAAAACTATTATCCAGCAAGATACATTTCCTGGGCCCCAGAAACATGTTACATGATAAACTGACATGATAAATAGAATAGCAACAAGTGTGGTTGGAAATTGACTAAGCGTCACTACTCAATTAGATAATTAACAGACAAGTGCTAATACCCACCTGACACTTATTGCCCTGTTCATCCCCAGTCAACAATGAGTTGACATTGAGTTCATCTTGCTAATGATCTGCTGTGCAAAGGTGGGTCAGGCTTTCATCATGTGTTCTGTAGAGATGATGTCACTGTTTAATGATTATTTAGGATTAGCTACATCCCTTGATGCTACCAAGACCGCCCTTGACATTATCAGACAGTTTGTCTGGACACAACCTGATGTCTCAACTGTACTTATTGGATTCTCCCTCGCAGCAAACTATGTGTCAGACAAAGATTTTGACCACTCTTTGCAGATGTATAATGCATAAAGAACTTGGGGTATGATTCAATAAGTCATGCGAGTCAAAGTTTGGTTTCACTGTACTTAGAAACAGACGATAGATCCAATACCGTTTAACTTTATAACATTCAGATGGGTATTCGAATAGGAAAATTTAATATACACATAAATTTACAATTACCATTGAAAAGTTCCAAAACCGAAAACAACTACTTTAATTAAGATAACACTTTGCCAGACCAATATATTTGGCAGTTTTTCCTGTTATTGTTAATCTTCATTCAATTCATTTTCAAAAATGATAGGATAAATGCTAAAAATATAAGACGATTTTATTCATGAATATTGCCAGTTGCCGAATTTACATCAGAACAAACAGGGAGGGTCACCCAAAAATATTACACTCTCTAGATTTTAGTTGATGGTTCAGGTTGTGCTTTACAAGTGAATTTCTTATCAGTGTTTATTTTGGCCTACCAATTAATGGTAGATATTAAATATCCACAATAAGTAAGATAATTATTTCCAATGTGACTCCCATTGCAACTAAAGCAAAGAACGATTCAAATCAGCCTGAATCAGCTGCTACATTGAAATGTTTTTGCTCCTCTAATCAGTAATTTAATCAGTTGTATAATGATTTGATATTTTGGGGAAAATATCCGTTGTGTAAAATCCTAATATTACTCACTTTGGTATTTGGGATGGTTGGGTAGCGAAATTGCTGGAATAATGCTAACAGCCGTGTGAATCTATACTAACTTGCTAACTTATTATATAGTATTTTGAGATCACTTACATGACTTGGGTGCTTGAAAGTTTTGATAATTTTGAATAGTTCTGTTTTTTTTATTAGATGCAATGCAAACATTTGAGTAAAAACTCAGGTGAGCCTTGTCCCACTGCAGGTATTGTCTTTGAAGATCACAAAAAATATTATCCTTTCTGTACACTATACCGTTTGCTTTTGCTTGTTTACTTGTTCTAAGATTGGTAATCATGGCTAAATATCAGTTGCTTGATAAATTGTCATTACCTTACTGTTCGACAAAACAACTTTTTACCCTTTGGCAATATATGTGCCTTTAAAATTTTTGAATAACACGTTTCTCAATATGTTATCAATTGTTACAGGTACCTGGATTTCACAGTGACACCAGCTACATTTAAGAAGATCCAGCTCAGATATCTCAAACAAAGGACTCACCAGATGATGATTAATCCTCCCCAGATCAACCATCAGATTCACCTCAGAAAGTGATGATTCTGAATGAATAATGCCACATCAGTGTGATTCTTTGGGTGGTTTTATGGCGACACTAATCAAGTCTGAAGGAATTAATACCACATCAGTGTGCCTGTGTTTATGTGGTGTACACTGACGCTGACTATACAAATCTGAATGACTTTTGTGGCGTACTACACAAACATAATTGACTTAAGATATTCTTCTTCCTTGACATTCTTCTCAGAATTGACTGAATTAGAAAATGGCATTGAAGCATCTGTTTCTGCAATTTTTAGCAAACACCTCTGGTTACTGTACCAATGAAATTTCACAAAATCAATAAATATGATTCTTTGTTTTGTTTCATAAGCATAACGAAATATAATATTGATCAGCAATAACATAGGTGCTGAACATATATCAAATATACTAATGTTTTCCTACAATAAATACAGCTCATTGAACACAGTGTTTAGTTTCATGTCAGTAGGAAAATGATATTGGTGTTTTTATTACTTTATTACTTTATTAAGGTGTTTTCTGTGGATACCATTAGTCTTATGCACCTATTTGGGGCAATTATTTTCTGTTTCGAACTTCAATGAAACTTGATGTAAAAACTACTGAAACCGTTAAAAAATGACCTTTTAATCTCACCATGGCCGAAGTGAGCACATAGTCAATGACTTTCAATTTTTTGTCAGAGTGAGTATGGTGTCATGACGCTTTTAGCAATATTCCAACAATATCATGATGGGTGTACCAATGTGGCTAATCGAACGCTTCAACCACTAGGCAAGAACAAACTGGGAATATGAAGATGAAATTGAGGGATATCATCATACCAGGACTGATATTTATTCATTTAATACACTTAACATCTAAAAAGAAATATAAATAAAATTGAAAAATATTTTCTCAAAATGTACATGACCAGAGATCTCAGCTTTTAGAGTATATTTACAAATAAAATAACACAGAATATTACAGCTACAGGTATCTGATATGACCAGGCTAACACTATTAACTAAAAACAAGGCATGAAGAAAAATTGCATCCTGATACCTCCAGCAATCTTCAATTTTCTTCGTAAGTTACAAATGTTTTTTTATTTACTTCACACTTAATTGAACAAAATGCACCCCCCCCCCCCAAAAAAAAAAATTGTTGACATTTTTTAAAACCGACACAGAATGAGGTATCGTGTGGGGTATCCGGAGCCGGATACTTGGACACTCAGAATGAAGTATCCGGTGCCGGATACCCGGATTCCATGAAGCTTGCTTTCTTCTGAGGCGTCCAGTGCCGGATTCCACGGATCTGCTTATAACAGTTTACAAATAAAACTAGTCTGAGAACAAATACAAGATTAAATAATTAGTAAAAAATACATTATATGGACGGGCTATAGATAACGGGAATAACACCAGAGTTGGTGTTATTTGTCCAGACCACAAGGTGTACGGTTGACCTTAGGGATTTGATGGTGAAAATTATTGTAGACCAATAAACAAGTTCATTTTTCGAAAATACAAGACCAGTGTGTAAGGAATGTAAAGAAAGTGACCTGTACTGTATTTACCTGTACCTGACATTTTTAGCTCAAACGAAAAATAGGATTAATTAATGATTGATAATATAACTACCTTTGGCCAGTGGTTGATGTCACTGTAAAGAAATCCTGGCCGCGTTGTGACGGCCACTAGGTCACTACTGTTGCTGTTGAGTTCACAGATGCGGGTCTTGGTCTCAAAGTTGAAGGACATGCAGACTGAAGACATCAGACATTCTGATGCACAGGAATAGAGAGACGGTGACCTTACTTTCCTAAATATGTAACGTTCCATATGCGCATCTACCTCTACAACAGAAGTTGTGTTGAAGCAAGTGCCACAACTACCTAATCCTCCCCCAGTCAGGACTAGGACTACGGTAAAAAGACTCAAATGCATTTTCCTGTTTTCTGAGAAAAGAAATAAGTAAGGGAAAGGTATCAGTAATGAATGCTGAATCTCATACTTCACCTCTAAAGTTGGATCCCCCTACTACAGTTGCTGACGCAGACATTTTAAAACAGATACATATCCATCCATCTACCCGTACTCAGTGAAGTAAAGCCATGTGAACTGCCTCAGTGGTGTTTTTGTTTCTTGTGATCTAACTGTCTTTGTTTTCAACTAAAGCAACGCCCACAGGGTTGACTGTAACTGCGTCATTACTTTGAAATGAATGGAAAGTTATTTGACTTAACCTCGAAAGTAAGTAACTAAAAATTGATTGAGATCGGAATACAGGCGGGCAAACCACTCCCATCCTGTGCCGACCACGTGCTTCATTGTTGAAAGATCAATATAACTCAGATTGAACGTCTTAGAGGAGAAAGCTAATTTCGCGAAACAAACAAGTGTGCAAATCGATCGAAACTATTGAACTGCTCTCATGTGAAGTGTTTGTTAAGGTTTTCAGTTCGAATTGAGAACTTATGGCATAATAAATTTGCCATCACTAAAACTTGTTATTGAAACTGACTAACATTAAGCTGCTAAACCAAGATTAATAAAGGGTATTTAACCCACAATCATGGGATCCTGACAAACCGGGCACAGTAGATGATGCCCCTTTGAATAGTTCGGTATTAACACCGAAGATGTTTGTTTTCACATTGATATGTTGATGCCTTACCAAGGATCAAAATCGATGAAAAATCTGATATTTAGCAGATCCTCGCACTAGTAAGGGAGGCGTAGCTCAAATAAAATTGATGTGCTTAAGTCCACTGGGTCACCAGATAACCGAGTTTCAGTCAAACCTACTCATGAATGAACTAATATATTCATATGTTTGTTTTTGTTGTTTAACGTCGCACTCAGCAATATATACCAGCTATATATGATTGATATTTGTAAATAATTGGGTCTGGACGAGACAATCCAGTGTTTCACATCGTGAGCATCGATCTACGCAACTGGGATACGATTACATGCATCAACCAAGTCAGCGAGTCTGACCACCCGATCCCGTCAGTCGCCTCTTACAACAAGCATAGTCGCCTTCAACCGTAAACATTGGTTGCTGAAGACCTATTCTAACTATATATATTTGAAATGAACATGACCAATGGAACTTAGCAAATTGTTATACTTGTTCGGGCGGTAGGGTAGCCTTGTGGGCAGAGTGCTCGTGCTGAAGACCCAGGTTCGATTCCATTACTTGAATATTTAGAAAACGGCGGATCAATTCAATCACTCTCTCTCTCTAATACTTCTAATACAATGTTTCATGAGAGAAAAATTCTAAAATAACATTGCGTGAATTCTCTGTATGCAGCAGAGAACACATTATCTTAAAAGAAATAGAAATTTATGATACATTTCATAAACAAAGCTATTTATAAATTGCTGGTATATAATTATTAAGATGTGACATCAATGGGGGATGGAGTAGAAGTTTAGAAGCGTTTCATGATGTACCGGTGGCACGTGCATTATTTTTGGTTTAAAAAGTAAGTTGTCTGACAATCACACCCAGCAGTAATTCTGCCACACAAGGACAGCATGTAAACAATTAACCATCCAATCGATTATTGATCAGTATGTCAAACAGGGATATCCGTCGTTGTGGGCACACACCCTGCTGTCAAACAAGTCCATCAGCGCGACCATCCGATCAATTAAAGCAAAACACTTGTTAGTTTCCAATGGCGCAGGTCAATCCAGTGTTTGACAACCGGAACATCGATTCAAACAATTGAGATACGATGAACCAAGTCATCAACACGAACTCTTAAGTGGCCTCTAGGACAACCTGAGCTCGGCATTAAACAAGCCTTCTCATGTTAGGAGATTATGTTTGCTACGTCTTTGAAGTGAATGAAAAGTTTGTTGGAGGAGATATGGTACTTGGTAAACTTTTGGGTAAATATTGGCTGATATAAAGTTTCACGAATTGTATCAAATTGTATTGGAGATATTTTAAGAAGAGACGTAAACGACATGTTAACGTCTCCTAAAATGTACATATTTACACCGAAAAAGGCCCTGATGATTTCTTTCATATCTAAAAGCAACAAACAACTGCCCTGATCCTAAATCATCACGAATTCTGATTTTTCCCAGCTTGAGGCCAGGCTGTACCTGTAACGTCATTTTGTCTCGTTCACAGTATACTTAAATAAGAACAGAGTTCCATTTGTTTGATCACTTTACTGGAGAGAACCAGTGTGGAATGATAATAACTAAACAATTATTGAAGAGGTTGAATCAGGGACGTGTTAATATTGCTTGTTTGTTTGTTCTTTAAGGTCAGCAATATTCCAGCTATATTACGGCGGTCTGTAAAAAATATCGAGTATGGAGCAGACAATCCAGTGATTAACATCATGAACATCGATCCACACAATTGGGATACGATGACATGTATCAATCTAGTCAACGAGCCTGACCAACCGATCTCGTTAGTCGCCTTTTACGACAAGCATAGGTTGCTGAAGTCGAATTCTACCCCGGATTGGGGGCGTACTTATAATTATACCTGGTTCTGCTTCTGATTGTGCATGTGCACTTGTACAAGTGACCGTTCTTTTATACAGGAGCGCATCATAGTACAATGTCCTCTATCTCCTTCCAAGTCTTTATTATGCGAATGGATAAAGGCTAAGAACGTTTGAAGTTTATTGAATGTGAACAAATGCCTATACAACCCATCGTATGACTATCCTATGGAGTAGTCCTTGTGCCAAGTAGGCACGCTGGTCACTCTGGTGGATCGGCTTGGACCCGTTGCTGGTGCTGGTGGTATCACGTCAGGCTCCAGTGTGGGTGGGTCTCTCAGGGTCTCAGGGGCCAGTGGTGGCGACTGACTGCTGCTGCTGCCGTGACTGAATTGGGTGGTGTCTTACTGACATCAGTACCGGCGGTGGTGTGGGCTCCGCTAGCGTCATGGGGTTGCTGTCGAGGGCAGGTAGCTGTGGTGTCATGATGGGTGCTGGTATAGTGATGCGGGTTCCTATGTCGTCATTGATCGGGGTGTCGGGTGGTCATTGTGAACTGGGCTGAACTTGTGCAGGAAATTCCTATTCCGAAGTGTGACTCTGCCTGAGCCGTCATTCTCGATCGCGTATTCGTCGTGTTAGCGTACCTCCACGATACTGCCCCTCTTGTCCAATTTGTTGGGGTGTGGTTAAGTCTGATTCTGTACTGCGAGTGACGGAAGGCGTTTAGTGTGCTCCGCCCAGCTGTCAGCTTTGCAAATGTGGCGTTTTTGGTGGGGTTCGACCCTTGCTTTGAGTGTCTCGCGCCAAGTCTCGTGTGGTCTGTACTTCCCGGGGATAATCGGGATGAAATCGCGTTTCAGGCGGCCGAAGACACATATTGCTTGAGATATCTTCGTGTCAAGGTCAGGTGTGTTAAGATATTGTATTATCACTCTCACACAGCGCAAGTATCAAGTTCTCCCTGCGGGCTGGTGCTTTCAGTGATAAGTCGTTTCATCGTCTTCACTCCCAATCTCCACACGACAGTTGCTGTGGGGGAAGATCACCGAACATAGGCGTTGGTGTACGCGCCATCTGTGCAGGAAGGACCTTGTCTCGGTCGAGATAAACTCCGGTCCCCGTCCGATGCGAATTCTTCTGGGGTCCCGAACATCACGAAGGGGCGACGTAAGTGGTGTATGAGGCTGGTGGCGCCACCTGTGGACGTCGAGATGATCGGCCAGTTCGAGTTGGCCCACCGTCCCGAGGTGGTGTACGCCCCAGTGTTACGAAGAGTCTGAGCACACTGCCTGTAAGGACTTAACAGCCGGGACAGGTGAGGTTGACGTACGGCCGTGGACTGGACACGCCTTTCATCCACTTATCACACATGTCATCGTACAGGTGGTGATTGAGGGGGAGTGTGCATAACTCGTCGTCCGCGCTGGCCATGGTGACGTGTGACCGAAGGCTGCCGGCTGCTCGTCGTACATCCCGTCGGTCTCCCCTGACAGAGGCCTACTCAGTCGGCCGCCCAGGTGTATCTTGTCAAGGTGTTTCTGGCGGCCACATTTCCAGCACTTTTTTCCATACCCGGGGCACTCTGAGGTGTCTTGCCGTGGCGAACCTCGCGGCAGTAGATACCCCTTCATGCTTTCTCCAGCCTGGCTCCTCCCTGGTGCGAACGTCTTGCCGTATCCCCCGCTGATACGAGCTATTGATCGCATATGTGCCCTGAGGGTCGAGTAGGCGTGATGCCGAGCGCTTTCCAGAATCCTTGGCCTCGATATACTCTGTCATGTCCTTCAATGGCATGGCCTGGTTTTTTTCACTGAGCAGGTCAAGTTGTATGCCGTTGGCAATCACATTGCGTAGTATCTCTTCCCTGAAGTCGTTGCATGTGTTCGCCTGCCCATTAATGTGTGGAATGGTCCAGTGTGCTTAAGCCTTCTCTGATTCTACAAGTAAAGGTCTCACTTATTATATTCACAAAAAATGCAGGGTAAAGTTTCTTACACATTTGAGGGTGCCAACCCCCTCCTCCCCTGAATCCCCTATATCACTTATTCTTTCACTCTGAGTATCATTTGCTCACCCATGAAACCAGAATACAACTCGACACAAATCTCAAACGCATTGAGAAAAGGGTGGGATATCAAGTCAATTGCTGAAAACATATCGAAAAGAAAGTAAAGTAAATATATAAAGGAAATTTTGATGTACACCATTATTTGTATTAATATAAATGTTGCTCCAAGTACGATTTTATATGGGTCCTGCATACCACATCCCTGAGTACTGAATACCCTCTAAATAGACCACTTTAAGAAACTGGACTTAAAGTTGAAAATCTTGTGTATGCACAGAATCTGTGAGCACTGACATTACTTGGGAATGCAGGTTATTATTATATATTTTCTTATTGTATATAAGGAATATCTAGTGTTTAATCCACAGTTTATATTTGACTAGATTGTAATAGTGTATATATGGTATATCTAGTCATATCTAGTCATATATCTTAGTTATAAAGTATATCAGTTGTGTAATGCTACTGAATAGTTCTTTGCATTACAGTATTATATTAATTAGTTACAACACATAAGTCATTCTGTGTTGAA